TTAATAAAATGACAATAAATTATTTATTTTAATGTTGCAAAATTATATTGCTTTATTTAATATATATATGTGTATATATCTCAATAGATTTCAATCTTTATACACCGTCTATCTCTGTAAATTAGAATATTATTTAAGTGTATTTAAGATTTGTTTTTTGGAATATTTTTTGGAAAAAAAAAGAATAATCAATATAAATGGTTCTTCTAAAGCGAAGTTCTTCTGCGACATAAGTAAGAAATATCTATTATTATTTCTATTATAAATAATGCAATTATTTCCATTGAGATAAATGAAATTTACTAATTTATACGGACGGTGCAATTCTGATTTGATTACTTCCTTATCAAATTACATATTATCACATATTCTGTACAGCAATTGCTCAAGATGTAAAATTACGAGTTCAAAATTTTTACATTTCACTGATTATCCACGCCATTTTTAAAAAATAATTGCTAAAAAATTTTCGCAATTATTCGCGAAAAAATTCGCGTTCTTTTTCTCGTATTTTAATAAAAATTTCAGTCTCTAATATATTATACCACAAAGAACATGAATATTTTCGCTTATTTATTCCAAGAAACTGCCGTTTTATACTATAAATCAGATTTTGTGAGAGGTCTCTTTGGCCATGTATTTTTCTCTAAAAGTTTCTCCTTAATTTCCCATAACCGATTGAGCTTTTCATTTACAGGTATGACATATGTCTCAAGCCACTCTTGTATTGTATAATCGTCATAAATATCTTCCATAGCTGTACGCATCTCTTTTTCGATATATATTATTTCCATTTTATGTCTGTCCAAATCAGTAACCGCACGTTCAACATAACTAGGACTCGCGAAAGAATATTTAATGTTGTATGATTTTAGCCATCCCTTATAGGTATTATCCTGTTCCATCTTCATTATTTCCTGTGTCAAAGAGTAAAGACGTAAAATAGCTGCGTATACCGATACTCCGTGGAAACTGCATTTGGTCCAGCCGTACTGTGGTTCTGGTATGCTTAACGAGATGATACCATCGCATTGTAAAGCTTCAGATATACGATCGGGTAATTCTACAGGAAATACATTTACATCTGAAGCTTGTAATATAGCTAAATTAATGGCGAGAGATGGTAATCCCACTGGCAGTAATTCGCAAAGGACACTGAAGTGATCGTATCTCTGCCATCCAGTCAATATGACACCCTTGAATGTGATTTGATTTGAGTATTTCTGAATGATTTCTAACCAACGTTGATGATTCTCCATGTGATATGAAATATCTGTATAATATCTATCAGGTGAAGTAGCTCCTTTGAATGCTGACGCAATCCAGACTTCCTTCCACACGGCGGCATAACTTTCCCACAGCTGATCCGTTAGCGTCATGCCAGGATCGGTGGTATATTTCCAAATAACTGGTTCTATCATCGAATGAAGGCCCCTGTCAATAATTTCCTGTGGCGATATATCACGAAATTCATCATCCCACATAAGTACAGTCAGTTCTGGATATCTCTCTTTGATGTACTTAACTACTGCAGAGACATGGTCCAGGAACAACTGTCGTTTGCTCCATTGTCTTTTGGCCATGATGTCTAAACATCTTGAGCATTCTCCTATCTGATAAACTTCGTCCGCACCTATGTGCAAATATTTTGACGTTGGATGATCTGATACGACTTGGTTTATCATTTCATAGATCAAGGATAATGTTTTATTATACGTAGGACATAAAACTTGCGGATAACGTGGAACTTCTCTGAAATCTTTATACTTGTCCAATTTAAGAACAAACTCCATGTGACCGAAAGTCTGTATTAATGGTATGATGATTAACTGATTGTTCTTGGCTATATTTTGAAGCTGCGCAATGTCCTTCTTGGAATAAGAGTTGCCGGCGTGTATGTCTTCGATGCTGTCAGCAAAGGGAAACATGTCTTCGTACTCCACAAGCACACCAGTGGCTCCTAGTTTTCGCAGCAGAGGAAATAGGTAGTTATAATAGCTCATCTTAGGCGGGGCGCCTTTCAGATCTAAGTGGACGACCTTATGACCCTTGAACAGTGGAGTGCCGTCTGCAAACGATTTATCATAGTGAGTTAATTCGTTAACCAGTCTGTTCCTACCGTTCTTCAAATCACCCGTCATCTGTCCATCTACTAGCTGCCTTCTGGCAACGCCCTGAGGGCTGTCCATGAGTTCACCTGATGGATACACATCTTCGGCTCTCAGACGCGTGCTGATTTTGCCCGATGACATGTCGTCGATCTCGTTACTCAGTATGTGGTATATGACAACCAGCAGGATGAAGCTGATCGTCGCGACGATCATTAGTGACGCACGGCCCCGTAGACGTGTCATGATATCGAGAAGATTCGCACTTCGGATCGAATCGTCAAACCTATCGCGCTGTCACGTCCATCGTTCACGAACCGCGCGATCTCCGCAATAGAGAGACAGGGAAAGAGAGAGAGAGAGAGAGAGAGAGAGAGAGAGAGAGAGAGAGAGAGAGAAATTATTGTAGAGCAACGCGGGAGACACGTTCGGTGTTGCTCATCGAATCACGAAATCGCGAACCGCATGCATTTCCGTCTCAAGAGACGAACGTTTCTCAACGGACAATCTCTCGAGTGTCAGAAAAATTATAATAAATCGCGGGGCTGAGCTTCCTACGCGGACCATTAACGTCTTCGGAGCTTCTTTATAGATAAGAAAAAGAGAGAGAAAAGAAGAGCGGCGTCGGATCCGTCTCGGAGTAATCTGACTGGTCGGTGACGTCGACGTGGCCTGGTGTGGCCTGATACGTAGTACGTACAGGCGCGGTGTAAGCCATGCGCGCGGTCTGTCGGCATCTCCGAGAGACACCCGGACCGAAGAGGAGAAGGAGATGGAGACGCGGCTGCTCCAGTTCTATACATGGCCTACTGCACGTTCGCTGATCCGTAGATACGCGTAGCGGCACGATAATTATTGATTCCTGCATCTCACGCTACGCCGAGCGACAATGCAGCCCGTTTTGAATTTTCAGCGACGAGTAGAGAGAAAAAGAAATTTGTTTGTTTACAGTTTTTGTCCATAGTGTGACACAAGGCATTCGATAAATGGGCGAAAAATTTTATAAACTTTAGATTGCAGCTGAAGAGTACTATAGTTATTTACTTTCTAAATTGTTTGGAGGAGAATCTCATTCTGAAGAAAATTGAGCTAGTCCAAAAAATGGCTCAATTTTCAATTTTTAAGAATAAAATTTTATTCTTTAGAGCGAAATTCATTCTAAAAGTTTTATAGAGTACGTAAGATTTGATCTTTTGTCAGCCAAATTGCTTAAATATAGCTTAAATATAGCTTAAATAGATTCATTTTGCAAAGCGTTTACTAACAAACTTGTCAGACGAAAGATCACAAATTTGATGCGGAATATATCTGTTATATCAGTTGCTGGAGACAGAATACGACAAAAAATATGACATTCGAATTTGTTTACATGATTTGACAGCAGATTAATTGTAGAAACTCAGGTTTGCATAAATTTGACGCAGATTGGCAGCAGAAATCGAGCAAATCTACGTTCGATAGATTTTATTCAATTTCTGCCATCTAATTAATATTAGGCTCTGTCGGTTGAATATAAGCTTAATGCGAATGGTACTAAATCTATTGCATTTTTCTGATCGAATTTGTTGCCAATGTTCTGATATTCTACAGTTTGCTTCGAGATTGGTAAATTCTAAGTAGATAAGTCTGCGAAGCTTCAGATGTATTTCTTTTTATTTTTTCATGTTTGCTGTTTTTATCGAATTTTTTTTGATTTTTTTTTAACAGTCGATAAGTTATCATTGATAAACCATTTAGATGAGTAACCTAGAATTATATCATTATTTAAATAAGCTATCTACAAAATATAGCATGTATAACATTTTGTCACGTCTATAGAAAAAAGGTTTTTTTAAATGACTAATTGGATATAGATCTGTTTAATCGTTTATTAATTCCTTTACATTTTTAAAAATAAGATATACACATTAAAAAGAAAAAAAAAGAAAAAAAAATGAGACAAAAGGAAAGAGATTAATTAAAGAGAAAATTAATTTATTCAATCCAGTCGTGCATTTAATTTAATTAGCTTTAAAACGATTTACTTATTCGGCAGAATTGTTGAAAGTGTGTGTGATCGATTCAGTCGACCGGAAGCCATCGCTTGCGTTCATAAGCGGGAAGTCGAGCGAATGTCACCGCACGTTACATCGTGTTGCATTTCCGTCGCATGGATATCAATTAAATATTAATTTATGCGCGCAAGCATTCTCGGCATATCGTGACTGTCTATTTTTTTAATTAAAGAAATAAAAGAATGCGTGGTGAGGAATTTATTTCAGGTGCAAGTTTACGTATAGATAGCTACAATTTTGTTCTTGCTATATACATATAGAATATGAATGTGAAAAAGGTATTTCAAATAAAATTGATACGCAGAAATATTGTAATGCTATCGTAATCATGAAACGACGCGACATCTGTCGAGACGTAGGCATATCCCACAATCCGATGGATGTGGGGAATCATTAAATATTGCAGTCATAAATTTATTACTTTTACATATTTTTTATAAGCAATATTTGTCGATTCATTAAAAAATCATGTAGAAGTGATAGATAATGAAAAAATGACAGATACTTAAGGGGATCTTAAAGTTGTTTGTATTACCAACTAATCATAATTTTTGTTTAACAATTACTTTTTTCCTCTTTTACAGATTCGAAAATCCTTTTCTAGGATTAAAGTATACGCATTAATATGTGTCTGTGAGATGGAGTTTATGCCGAGAACAACAAAAAATTTTTCTTAAGGTTTCAATTTCAAAATTTTTTGTCGTTCTCGACATAATAAACTCCACCTCACAAACACGTATTAATGCATATTAATGCTTTAATCCTGGAAAAGAATTTTCGAATCTGTAAAAGAGGAAAAAAGTAATTGTTATACAAAAAAATACTACTTTAATTTTGGAAAATCTTTTTTGTTAAGTCTTTGATCACAATTTCGCAAACTCAGGATTGTTTTTGCATATCTTAAAATTAAGTAAACATATTAAATTAAATAAAAATAAATAAAATGAAAGAAGAAGAAAAAAAAATCTTATTTTCGGCCAAAACAGATTTTAATAATAATGCTTAATAACATTTTTATACATTTTTTAATTTTATGAATTGTGTGCCAATTTAATTTATTAAACTTAAAACGTAAATTGTAGCTGAAACTGAAATTATAAATTGATCATCAAATTTAATAGTATATTTAATGTCTTAAAAATTTACGAAGAACTTATTGCGAAAATTATTACTTCAGCTGCGGTCGAATCATACATAAATTGAGATATTTTACTTAATATTTCAGCTTTAGCTACAATATGTTTCAAGTTCGACAAACCGATGCACAATTTATAATACTAAAAAACATATTTGCAAAAAGGACACATAAAAATTATTATTAAGAATTACTTATTTGATCAAAAATAGATTTTTTAAATTTGAAATATTTAAGATCTTGTATTTATGTTACATTTTAAAACAGAGCTGCTTATAATTTTATGCAATTTAATATTTTTATAATTTATAATAGATTTTACGCGCGTATTCTAATTTAAAAAATTTTTCGCATTTGTTTCAAATGATTTGTAATTCATGTCAGAATTCAGGATAGGATTCTATTTATACTAATAAACACGATTAATGATGGAACAATCACTTCAAATTGCGATATATATTTCCCCGTGTTTATGTTCTCGTTCCAATCAGCATAAAATGGCTATATTATTTAGCGTTAAAATATGCTATATTTTATAAAATATGCTATAGGAAGTGCATTGCATCACAGTTGAAGCGTTTCGCAAAAATTAGATCTCCGGTTGAATGTGTTACAATAGCACTGCCATATTAATATAATCCGCATATTAATATAAACAATGCGAAGTCGAGACATTTAAATATAAAAAATGTATCATAACAAAATTTATAATAAAATTTATAATAAAATTAAAATCTCTCTTCTTCCTCTTTACCTATCAATCACAATTTCAAACCATTTCTATCTTCATTATGAATCTTTTTAGTATTCTTATTATTCACGATCTTCTTTCGAATTCTCCTTATAATAAGGATTTAAAATTATTTCTCAAGAACGAAGAGTTTAGGTTAAAATAAACTATCTTGGTTTAGAGTTGCCTATTAGGAAAGGATTTTTGTGCCGTCTGAGTCATCAGTCTGAAACACTCGATATATCATTCACGCCATAATCTCGAGCATAGATAACCCAACCCGTGACCGCTGGTTTTCATGGAATGCCGGGACACCCGTTACGCGAGTGACGAGAGTGAGTCACATCTTTGCGGCCACGAAGGGAAGCAGGAGCATGATTCCAGACAATAAAGTCGTTTAACGATGGCACCGTCCGAGGCACTATATAGACACGGTCGAAAGCGCGACTCGAGGTCACAAAGATACGCTGATCACTTATTCGCATACGCGTACAATAATAATTGGTGTTTTCGCGATCTCTTTGTCGAAGAAACATTCTGTATCTTTTTACAAAGTTTATCTGTGTCTAAAGTTTAATCTACAATATGCTTTCTTATTTTTTACCATTTTTTATCTTTTATATACCTTTATAATTTCTAATATTATTATACAAAAATTTGAAAATATATAAAAAAAATAATTCTCAATTGTTTTTTTTTTTTGCATTCGGACTCATCGCATAATTTCACGTGCAAAAACGTAAATTATTTATTTTAGAAAATTATTATATAATTTAAAACAATTGTAAAAAGTCAATATGAAGTAAATATGATAAATGCAGCATAAAAAAACGTTAATGATTTGATCTGCTAAAACGTCTCGAGACACGAGTATTTTTTTTTTACATCTACTTTCAGAATCTCTTTGATTTTTTCATGGGAGGAAAAAATCGATTTTTGTCGTACTGTGTTATATATAATTATATGTATATAAAATGTATGTATATATAT